AGGGGGGCTAATAATTTAGGGGGACTAATAATTCTGAAATCAACTGTGTGTGTGTGCACACACACAGTCAAATAGCTTTTGACTTCTTTTTTTTTTTTTTTGGTGGGGCCAATGAAAATTTTGGCAGGGCAAGTAAAAATCAGAACGGGCCAGTAGAAAAAATCCTTAGCGTTGAACCCTGACGTTGTAATGTCACTAGAACAAATACTGTAACAAGACTCAGCAACAACTGTGTGTTTGTGAGGTGTTCTTGTAGTCCAAGTAATCAGTCTGTGAACAGCTTCAGCTGTGAGAGTGTAATCAGTCAGGATCTGGAATGTGTGTGAGCAGAGTACATGTTTGGAGTTGTAGTCCTTGAAATGGTGGATTTGTAGTACATTAACACTTGTGAGTGTTTTCCAGCGATCTGTGGTGTTTTAGACTGCTGATGATTGTGACAGGTGATTTTATACTTTTTGCCAGGAGTTGTTTATTTACGTCAATCTGCATCTTATTGTTTTTTAGGGTTATGTCCAAAAATTTTACAATTTACAACAACGCGATTTTAAATTCGCTTACATTTCTGACTGCTTGAGAGGGGCCTAGATGCAGTCCTATTGCAGTGCAATCTGAGCTGCATCCAATGCTATTTAATGTGCTCACCTAACCCTACCCGTCACAGTGACGTCACTCGCTCCATTTAGTGCATTGTGTCTGACATTGCATCGCTGAGTGATGCAATCTCAGCTTGCACCGTAAAGGCTGTATCCAGATACTATTGGACTGCTTTATGCATCAAAAAAATATGGCTGATCGATTTCAGAAATGTGTGCTTTCTTTTTCCTGATATAATACAAACATATGCTGGTTATTAAAAAAAATTTACTAAAAATGATTTAAACTACTAAAATAAAATAATAAAGTAAAATAAAAATAAATCATACAATTGAATCATTGTCTTGTCACAGCATTTGTACAGTATACTGCAACTCTCTTATGATTTAAAGCGCTTCTTTTATCCTCACTTGTAAGCCGCTTTGATTAAAAGTGTCTGCTAAATGAGTGAATGTAAATGTTAATGTAAATTATCCTTTTGCATATTGAAATGATGCATTCATTTTTATCATGCCAATTCTATATTTTCCTTTTAATATAACACAGCCCTAGTGAAGCAGGTGCTCTGTCTGATCATACAGACTGACGGCACTGATTCACTTACCCCAAGCAAACCAGGGAGCACCTTTCCCCTCTTCACCACCTCACCACTTTGGTAACTATGACAACCACATTATCCTCACCAATAGATGTCTCTCACACAGCGTTTCTGTTCAGTATCCCTCTCATACTAATGTCACAGTGTGTTCTCTTCTGTAAGGATCTTCCAGTATGTTATAGGGGATCAGCCATTGAACTGCAATTTCATATGAAGCCACCGTACTTCCACTGTAAGAAATCCTTCAATGTCATAGTTTACTTCGCAAACTATTATCATTCTTATTTATAATAAACATACAATCAAACAAAACGGTCCTTTAAAACTCTTTTTTTATTATTAGTAGTGTGCATTACACTTCGTTTACATAACTTTAAAGGTGATTTTATCAGTATTTTTTTTTCAAGCCTCAGTTTCCAGATATTAAAAATGTTGTATCTCTTCCAAATATTGTCCTATCCTACTGTAACAAACCACAGATCAAAGAAAAGCTTATTTATTCAAATATAAATTTTACCATTATTCAAGCTATTTTGATACTGTCAGCCCAAATAAGATTTTGTGCAAATGTAAATGTAATATGAAATCCATTTAAAGGCATGTTTATATATGTTTAAATCCTATCAAAATTGCATCTCAGGAATCTGTTTCTGTCTGAACGGTCTGATCACATTTTTTCTTTGTCACTTTTTCAGAGAATGTAAAAAAGGTAAACACGATAAAGTAAACAGAGAAGCAGGTTTTTGTTGTGCCAAAATGCAAGCTGAGCATAAAATGACAATATACTCCTAGTTGGTCTGCACACAATTTTGGGTACTGAGACCAGCAAAGGCAGCAGCAAGAAAGAAAGTCACAAACACAGACCGTCTACATGTCTGCTGCGGCCTCATACAATGTAATATTCCAGTGGAACGGTAACATGCAGTCCTTTTATATGACAACATGTGTTTTGCAAAACCTGTTGGCATTGTTGTTTATGATTTAGGCATACCAATACCAAGAAAATAATGCAGATCTGCTATGACACTTCACGTAGAAGATCAATCATTTAGATCCTTGATGTGATTAAAAAAATGGCATCATATTTTTACTACACTGTAAAACCCAAAAAGTTAAGGTAACTCAAACCATTTTAGGAAACCAATCGCAACAAACTATTTAAATTCAAAAGCAAATCCTAATTAGTGCTTTGAATATAATCTATTTGGGTAAATGAAGCAGTTTGAGCACAGTAAAACCCAATAAATGAAGAAAAAGTAAACCAACTGAGTACTGTGAAACCGAATAAGTTGTCAACTCAAACCATTTGAATAAAACCAATTGCAACAAACCATTTGAGGTATAAAAAAAAAACTAATCTATATGAGTACTGTGAACTTACTCCATTTCAGTTGAAGTAATGAGGTATTTAATTAACTCATTACCTTCAACACTAAGTTCAAAACACTTTTCAAATGAGTGGAATTAACTTTCAGTCAATTTTGAGTTCACTACACTTATTTAGTTTGATAAAGTTGACTGTTGGGTTTTGCAGTGTACAATATATGTGCAGGAGTGTTCTGTACTGTACAGCTTCTATATCTTTGAAAAATCAATTTTATTTCTTTTGTGGAGTAGAGTAAGCTAGTGTTAGAAGATTGCTGATTCTGTATGCATATCCGTATGCATTTAACACCCCACCTCAGTGAGGAAACTGAATTGTGTAGTTTTGATTTCTTTTCTGATGCAGGTAATGTATTCCAGGGGCGTCTGGTAGGAAGTGAAGTGCTGCATTTGTGTGATGATAGATGACATGCATTTATGTACATGTCACTGCGTTTGATTTCAATGTGTAAATGGATTGATGCAAAAATGCTTTGGAGGCAAAAACTTTGTGTTTTCCTTCCATGTGCCAACATATTTCTGCAAAACAAACATTAATTAATACATAGCCGTGAGTCTGTGTGCTATGTAGGCCTGTGATTTCTGGGTTTCAAAGTCATATGGGTTCAGAGGAGTAAATAATTAATTAATTGATCTAAAAATATGTATTTGTATGTAGTCAGGGAAAAAGAGGAACACAGAAAGTGATAGAGGAGTCTGTAATGACACAATGTGCTATTAGTGCAGCAAATGAGAGCACTTAAGATGCTTATGAAGTGCTTAAAGTCAACAGGCCCTTTTACTGGAAATCCATTTAAACATTGTTGCTGTCATATCAAAATAATTAACACCAAAGCCATTCATTTAGGTGAAATTGTTGTATTCATAAACGCAATAATATCAGCAATAAAAGGGGATAATTTACCCAAAAATAAAACAAAACTGTATCATCAGGAGGTATGGGGAAGTCATTTTGTTTTGCTTGTATTTGTTTTGCTTCTTTTAGGTGTTGGTAGCATCAGCTTAGTTTCCATCCACCTATTATTAAGTGTATTTAGGAATACTGCATAAAATATTATTAAATGGAAATGCTAAGATGCGCATACATTGAATATTCTCATAAAAAACATATGCACTGAATGATAGAAACACATTTACCAGTTAAATATGCTAATTAAAAATCTACTGCATTCATTGCATGTCATCTTCATCTTATGAGGTGCAAGTAAATAAATAATAAAAAGGCACACAGTATTGTAGCTTTTTCCACTGCTGCAAATTTCATTTTTATTTAGATTTTTGGTGTCAGATTATCAGGAAGTAAGGATTTTGTTTTCTTTGGCTGATCGATTACATTTATATATATTTATATATATATATATATATATATATATATATATATATATATATATATATATATATATATATATATATATATAGTCAACAACATTTCGATATTCGTATATATATAAACTATTTAGGACATCTATACCAGGGGTCACCAACCTTTTTGAAACCATATTGATAAATATCAATATGCAACAAGTTATTTCAATAAATCTCTGTAAGTTTTTACATTTTCGAAATGATCACTTCTACAATATTTTCACTAGCCACTAACAATTTTTGACAAATCATACATTACATTGTTCCATGTTGGTTCAGATTATCAATTGTGTAACATAAATCAACTTATTAAAATATTAGATGAAGCTTACTGGTAAGTGGCGCTATGGTGGGCTAATTTTAGAACAGAAACAAGAAACAAGAAAATATATTTATATATTTTGAGTGTAACCTGAACTCATGACGATTACTAATGCATGATTGAAGTGCCTCTCACATTCAATGTACTGTATTATGAGTGTATAAAGAGTGTTTTAAGAGTATTTTGTGACCACCTCCAAATTACAGAGTTTATGTTTCTTTTGAGGATTAAGTCATCATCTCCTCCCGTCTTTTCCCTCAGAAATATGTCAAATGAGACCCTCCCTCACCTCATGTCTTTTGTGCGCATGATAATGCTTAAAAGGGATGTAACATTGAATGTTATTTCCACATAAAAATCTGTATTTCTGCAGTTCATATTTGCCATCCCTTAGTGGATTTTTCAATTGGTCTTGTAAAAATGCTTGAAGTCCATATTCAGCATGCATCAAAGGAGCTCACTCAGTCATGATATTTTTCACTTTACCCTTGAAAACTTTTATTGGTAGAAGAGCTCGGGCTAACAGCGAAAATGTTATATACTTTAGTTCTTCAAGGCTTTACTGCAACAGAAGAAACTTTGACAATATGATTGGAAGTTGCAGCTGCACTGTGTTTAAGTATAAAAAAAAATCTCTGAACAATTTTTAGGAAAACTTAGGAAAGGAAAAAAAAAAAAAAGTTAAATGTAAACACTTGGACTAAACCTCCAAAATTCAGATATGAGATGTAAACTCACCTATATATGATGCAGGCACTGTTACGACACGTGTCACAGTTGGCTGTATCCTGCCCAGTTCGGTATGACAGTCTGTAGAAAAAAAATGTAAAATGAAAAAATGTAAATGTAGAATACAAAAACAAGACAACTCATAAGTTTAGAGTAAAATAAAATGTTAAAAATCTTTAGTTAAAGGGGTGGTCCACTATGATATCATATTTTAAACTTTAATTTGATGTGTAACGTAGCTGTGTGAACATAAACAATATCTCTAAATGTAATACACAATAAGTTCAATGCACAGGACAAACTGGTTTTTACAGAGTTAGCTTAGCAAAGCCTAAAAGGAATGAACTTTAAGGACTACAAAAAAATACAGTACATCCGGGTTAGTGAGATCACAAAATTTCAGATTACGCGCATTCACCACGTGTATAGGCCCCGCGCAGCAAAGAGGCGTGGCCAGAGGCGCAGTAATATTATAGCAGAGAAAACTAAAATGCCAACCAAACGCTGCTATTTCCACAAAACTTGTGTTCTATTTCTATATTTAGGCTTCCAAAGGACACGACACAAAGAAAGAAGTGCTTACAATTTATTTTTAATTATGGTTCAGAGAATTATAAAAAATGTATAGCTCTAGCGTTTAACAAAGGACAGCTTACAGAATCTCTCCCAGTTTTGTGCTGGATTCAGCTAAAAACTCCTCAAAGAAGGAGCATCTTCAACCATAATAGACAAAGCTGTGAATTGTGAGCCACAACCTGTAAATATTTTTATTTGTTCAAATTGATCTTTTACAGGCACAGTTTCTTTTATTAACGTTATGTTGTAGCGAGGACATAAACAAGAATGTAAACAACGGGAAATGCTGTTTGGCACCGCTAACACTTTAGCTACAAATTCATATTTATCTGTAAAACCCCTGTAAACACCCACAATCTTCACCAGCGCTGCTGTTTCTCTTTATGCAGCCATTTTCTTTGCATTCTATATCTCAAATAACAAACTCGCAAAAAATATGTGAATGTGCCATATTACTTACACATGCTTATAACTCGAATATATATGAAAGACTCTAGTCAGATTTTATTTAAGAGAGCAGGCGTGAGGTTCAGCTGTTTCCTGTTAATTTTCTTTCTGAATTAGGACCAAACTGGTACAGCTAACAGTTAATCTGACTGACAGTATTTACACAGCAGAGGCAGAGTGCATGCTAGAGGCGTGATGCTTTTCCTGGTGACATGGAGCCGATCTGCGAATCACAGCACATTATGTTAGCGGACCAATCAGAGCCTCTTGAGGGTGGTCCTTTCAGAGGAACTAGTAAATATGAGTTGTTTTCATGTTGGCTAAGTAGCTGTATATATTGAAAGTAAGATATATTTTTTTTAAAAACGTGATTTTTTACAAATGAAGCATGAGCACACAATGTTTTGCATCCTATAAACACGACCAAGTCTTAAAAATACACTCTGGACCACCCCTTTTAGGATTAGTTCAGCCAAAAATTTAAATTCTGCTATTAATTACTCAGCTTTGTTATTTTTAAAAGCCTCACATACCTTTGTTCATCTTCTGAGCATAAATTAAGATATTTTTGTTGAAATATGAAAGCGCGCTGATCTCCCATAGACAGAAATAGTCCCAACTCATACAAAGTCTAGAAAGGTAAGATCAAACATTCTCAAAACGTTCCATGTGTCTTCAATTGGTTCAATCAGAATATTATGAAGCAACAAGAATACTTCTGTGTGCACATAAAACTGAAAATTACTTTTTTTAACAGTGTCAGTGTCTTTTCTTCTCAGTGTCAGTATAGGGCACAAAGGTATTATAGCTTGATAATACTTCGATTGAACTTCTGAAGACACACAGGCTGTTCTGAGGATATATTTTGGTATCTTTCTAGAGTTTACATGAGTCAGTGCCAAAGCTGTTTAAGGAGGATCACAGAACTCTCAAATTTCACCCGAAATATCTTAATTTTTGTTAGAAAGATGAACAAAGGTCTGGGGGGTTTGGAACGACATGAGGGTGAGTAATTAATAACCTAATTTTTATTTTTGGGTAAAGTAACACTTTAATTTACCATCATATCATCTGAACCTGACTCTTTGACATTAGGTTATATTGAAGAATGCTAAATGCTCTGTAAATGATGACAGAAATATCATGTTTGGATAAATCCATATTGACCAAGAAAACAGGCAAAAAAATACCTTTTCCCAAACATTTAACTGTGTTTTTTTTTAGTTTATTTTATCTGACCAAGCCATAATGACTAAGATATAGTTTTATAAAATACATGATTTACAGAAGCTTTTCACTAAAATGTCATTCGACGTTAAAAAAAGAGGGTTTATGCTTTATCAGCACATATTTATACATTAAATGTTCATTTTAATCATTTTAATTTGATTAACAGCATATCCAGATGAATTCAATAAAATATTTTAACTAAATCAAAGCCTCATTTATTTCTTATGCACCAGTAAGAATTATTATCACAGGAATCCATGCAGTTTATTGCCTGAATCCGCCCGTGCCCAAGATTTATATACATTATTTCATGATGGAAGTCAGTAGGATTGAATTCCCTGTATCTGTCCGCCGTTCACTCGTGGCCCTTGGGCTTCAGCAGCTTTAATGTATGTACAAGGGGATGATGGATCATACACTGGCCTGGCATATTTGAAGTGCTTTTGATATATTATTTGTGTGCCGATGTGACAACGTGACACATGCCTAGCATTCCTACAGAGACAATAACGGGGCCGTACCCAGCAGCCATGCAGTTATGCATTTTCATTAAAGCTTAATGAAAGCCTAATTGGATCACTTTATCCCTCTGAGCACTCAAGTGTCAGGATGGTCATTGATATTCTGCGTTCAGTTCGATCTGGTGTTGCTGAAGAGTTCACAGCGACAGCGGCTACACACATTATGTCCAAACGCAAAGGAGCAACTGCATTTTATTCAGAAATAGAGAGACACCAACAACAATTGAACTGAGCTTTTACTTTATTCTTTTGTAGCCTAAAAGAAATTATATTTTTAGCATAATTATATTTTTACTCTGTGGGCTCAGAATTAGGGCACCGCATCAAGGTAGGAAAAGCACTTAACATGAAGAAAATCAATTTGGTCGATATGATCTGGGAAAAAAATGGGAATAAAATGAGATTGAACACTAAAAGCATTGGAAAATTATAACCCTAAAGGTCAGAGAGGTCGAGCAAATATTGGTATTCAAGGTGACCCAAAGGACAACCACATGTTATGAGGTGTGCCATTCAACAGATAGTTCACCTACAAATGAAAATTCTGTCATCATCCACTCACCCTTCACCTCAGTTCCAAACCTGTCTATGATACGCCGGTTGAACACAAAAGAAGATATTTTGAAGAAAGCAGGAAACCTGTTATCAATGACTTCCATAGTATTTGTTTGTCATACTATGGAAGTCAATATTTAAAGGTTTTTAGCTTTCTTCAAAAAAAAAAAAAAAAAACATTTTTGAAGAGAAAACTCATAAAGCTTTGGAATCAATGGAGGGAGTGGATGTGGGTTAGTGAGTACATTTTCATTTATGAGTGAACTGTCACTGGCATTGATGGTTTCATGGAGAAACTGTAGCATTCATATAACCTTCACATTCGTTATTACATGCTAAATGGTTATTTGGATCATTAAAGTTTCTTTGATAAATACATTGTTCATGTAAGAACTGATGGCATGGATTTTCTGATAAATGTCCGCACCAGGATGGAGTGACAAATATAGTTTATTATGTCTTTATGATTATTAATAAAGTTGAACGTTTAAGAGCATAGATCTAGGGTGCTCAACCCTGTTCCTGGAGATCTACCTTCCTGCAGATATCAGTTGCAACCCATGTCAGACACAGCTGCCTATAATTATCAAGTGTTGTTCAGGTCCTATTTAATTGGCTCATATGTTTTTGATCAGCTGAACTCTGTAGGAAGATAGATCTGCAGGAACAGGGTTGAGCACCCCTGGCCTAGATTATACGATGACCTTACTGTCATCCTAATTCAGAGTAAAACTGGAATAATATGTGTGCGTTGCTTTTTTTGTAAGCCAAATGATTTGTTTCCTCAGCATATACTCAGCCATGTCAGAGGTCATTGAAACCTCCTGAGTGGACCAGGACTCTTGAAGAATTGGAAACAACTGTTTCCTGAGTTATTTGTCATTTTAAGTGTTAAATCATGTAAAGTAAATTCCATTGTATGTAAGCTGCCAGTTTGGATGTAGATTATACTGGTTTTTAACCAGTTTTGATAAAGATGGCTGAGAGTACACTCAGCCTGGGTAAGAAAGAGAATGTACTTTAAGTGTGTCTGTGTTCTATTCGATTGTTCACAGGTCTGGGGTCATGTATGACGCAGTTAATGATGTTATGTGACAGTATAATTGTTGATGTTTTTAAGATTATAAGCAGAGTGGCCTAGGAACTCATTGCAAGTGTTGCAGCTGGCTTTTGCTGCTGATGAGACTTCAAACTATCTTCAGTAAACTTTCTTTAATTGAATCTCTGACTCTGGCTTTTCCTCATCTTCATTTTTGGGTTTAAACAGTAAAATATCCCTACATGAGAAACAAAAATTTGTTCTTCTATTACGCAACAAGAAAAAAAGAAAAATAATTTTATTTTAGGAATGTGTATGTTGGTTGGGTTGTGCTTAGAAATGTATGTAAAATATTACCCTTAATGTATCATTTAAGCACATTTTATAGCATGATGAAAATGCTTAAATGTTGCTGAAGTGTTTTAATGTGTATTAATAAGCATAACTGACTGATCCTTAATTGCATTGTCATGTATTGTGGATGCTTGGAAATACAAAACAAGTATACAAGGATCCAAAATGCCTTCAAACCACAGCAAATCGTGCTTTGCAAAATCTTATTGTCATCCAGACACTGACAATCTGTTGCTGTCTGGAAAGTCATTGACTCACTAATGAGTCAATTGTGATAATGATTAAAAAGTCAGTGGGGTCCAGTGTAGGTGTTGTTGATGTGTATTATCTACTATAATATTGTAATTGTCATTTTAACA